CATATACAACATGTTTTTAGACCTCTCAATATTATAGTTATACAAAGGAATTTTTGGTTGATTTTAAAAAAGTATTCAAAAAATTAAAACAAAATCCCCCCAAAATAGATAAAAATCAAGATAACCCTTTTATTTCATTAACAAGATACTTTTTTAAAATCAACCAAAATCTCCTTTGTACAATTACAATATCGAGAGACCTAAACATGTTGTGTTTATGTCGTTTTGTTCCAATGAAGTTCGGAAAGATGTTTCATTTCACTCTGGAAACATGATATCAAGAACAAAACAAGTGTTTGATGTGTTTTTCAAAACAATATAGATGAAATTATATATACAGGGTGTCTCAAAAAAATGTACCCAAAAGTATATCAAGAGCACAGATAAACCAATCAATATTTTCAGACATTTTTTGCATGGTCATGTAGCCAAAACATGAAAGTTTTCTCCCCAATACACCATTTTTATTTCAGTCTTTTCTTTTTGATGCTTTAACCCTTTACCTTTTACAGCACATAATCGATGTAACCTCATATTTCGATGACAGCCTGTATCCTTACTGCTACATTGTTCATCACATTTGATAATAATTCCGGTGGAATGTTTTGGAATTCTCTTTGGATGTTGCCCTTAAGTTGTACTCGGTCTTTTTGCTTGGAATGAGCATTAAAACACTCCTTCAAATAGCCACAGAGAAAGATGTTTGAGGAGGACTATGGCAGAACAAACACAGATAATCAGGTCAATTATCGGCAAATGATTCAGGAGCTACCTTCAAGAGTTAGGCAGGCTTGCCTGGATACCAAATGATATCCAAATGAAAGCACGGTGGTCTCAAATTGATACACACAACAAAAGCAACACTAGAATCCCAACCAATGCAGTTTCTTGAACCTCTGACCTCTGTATAGGGGGGCTATAAGACATTGTGAGGGCCTCCCTATTCACCATATTTGACGGCCCATACGTTTTTCTCTGAGGCTATTTGAAGCACCATTTTTATGCTAAACCCAAGCTAAGAGACCTAGAACAACTTAAGACCAGCATCCGAAAACAGAAATCAAAACATTCCACCAGAAATATCAAATGTGATGAACAATGTAGTAGTAAGGATGCAGACTGTCATCGAAATATGAGGTTACATTGAATATGTGGTGTAAAGGTAACAGGTTAAAGTATCAAAAAGGCAAAACTGAATTAACAACTGTATATAGGGGGAAAAACTTTCATCTTTTATCTACAAGACCATGCAAAAAATGTCTGAAAATATTGATTGGTTTGTCTATGGTGTTGATATACTTTTGGGTACATTTTTTTGAGACACCCTATATATATTTTTCGAATTATATTGTTACCATTCAAAAGATGACCATTAAATTGACAATGTGTAAAATTTTCAGAATTTGTTGATGACTGGTTTAAGAGAAACGTGTGCGTTCAAAAAGTTCGCCATATCGATACCCATCTTTTACAACACATTTAGAATTTGGACTTACGATCCGAAGTATGATATTTCATAAGTTTCCTTTACATCGATCATATTGTACATTATATGATAAGGACATGAATTCTAAATACACCCAGACTTTTACTTCATGTTGTATATCATTAGGAAATGAATTCTTAATACACCTAGACTTTTGCATCATAATGTATAGCATAAGCACATGAATTCTAAATACCTAAACTTTTACATCATGTTGTATATCATAAGTACATAAACTCTAAATACATAGCCGTTTACATTGTATTGTATATAATAAGGACGTGAATTCTAAATACACCTAGACTTTTCAGTCAAGCCACGAATCTCTTTCACATTTGATCAATGTAAAAGTTGAAAAAATGAAATTTTAGATTGAGATATAAATGCATATACCATTAGCCATGGGGTTTAAGAAGCGTTTCTCAAAATATTTTTATTACCCTTTAAACAATTACTTGATTGTGCATCAAAACGTAAATATACTCTTAAATTGCTGGTGTCGATGATGGTGCATACATAGGCTTACATTGATTCATGTTTCAAAATTAATTTTGAGTTTAAAGATAAACTAATGTATTAAGTTTGAAATATTTAATCACATGAACAAAAATAAATTGCAATAGTTGTTGTTTATCTTAACAAGAGAATTTTATTAAGATAATCGTTGAAATACATTGTTTTGAGTTTCCCTAAAGATAATTAATTTCAAGATTTTGTTTTCTAAGCTAAATAATATGCCAAGTCAATTCCTCGATGACAAAATGAATGTACAAATTAGACACACATGTCTTCTTACATCAAAATACAACATTGTTCCGAATAGGTCAATCACTCCTCCTTGTGATATTAAGTGTCATTTAACAGTGTCGCTGATGGTCGCTTAGGTTTTTAAACAATAACGTACATAATTTACACATTTAAGGTCGTCTTTTATTGCAATTAAAGCATGTAAACATTTCTCCAATGAGTATCCCCTTTACACGAGAATATTTCCCGGAATCATGAAACCAGTCGGGGCATTTAGAGCACTTGATCCATTCGAACTACGATTGTAAATACGAATAATAGTTAACACCGCATGCCTTGCAAATATTTACAGTGTCTGTTCTTTTTATCGGGCCTTTCCTTTTCTTCGCGGAAACCATTGTGTCTGAAGACTTTGAACTTGTTGATGGGGTTACTAAAGGCCGACGCTTCAATGTGGTTGAAAGAGTGGAAACGTCGGAGGGCGTCGATGCTTTACTTGACGTACTGGGTGTCGGGTGTGCTCGTCGTGTGGTCCGTTTTGGTTTTAAAGATGGTTGCTCGGTGACCACCTTAGCTGCCTGCTGGGTCTTCCTAACGGTTATAAGGTTTTTCCTTTGCCAACCACAGGGTGAGGATGACGTATCTGTTCTGCATGCGTCACAATAGCACGACAATTCTCGCGTTTCAACAATATTATCGGAAACCCCTCTCACAGCATTGATTCGAAAGGTACCTGGTACTGGTTTAAGTCCAGTCGCCCTATGTTCAATGTTTTAATAATGCGTTCTGGGATTTCTTGGATTTTCATTTGTGTCCTGGCAGTTTCACTTTGAGACTCTGAGCGTTCCCTTCAGTCTGGCGTGTTTTGATTGTTTCTCTATACACTTGGCGTACGCGTGCCCTATATTCCCGGGATGCCTTGTCGTTCTTTTCTCTGATCCGTTGAAGAGCTTCAGCAGACAGGTTATTTCTCGGTGTATACGATGCTCGCTGTCGCAATCGTTCTTGCTCTAAGTAGCCTTTGGTATCTTTCTTTTTCTTTCTCTCCCTGTACTGTAGTCTTAAGGAACGACGACACTTCTCGGCGTTGGTGAGTGCCATATTCTTATATCATCAGAAAGGTCTGATAAGTAAGACAGATATGTTAATGAGAGTGTGGGAAGTTATGCACATTAATAAAATGTCACAAGACTGATTATCCCAATGAAATATTTATTGTTTTACAATAATGGCAAGAAATACATTTCATCTAGTGGTACATTGAACGAAATGTTTATAAATTAAGAAATATCGGGGAATGTGCATCTATATTTGTCAGTGATTTTATAAAACTATGAACTGCTCAATCATCCCAATTCTTGTGTCACATTACCATAGCATTTCAAAACAAACAGAATATGCATCATAAGTAAATAACATGATCTGCTTAATAGATTCAATTTTACTTATCACTATACGTTGTAATCACAATGAACAATATGCTCTAAATCCTTAGCTCGGTATCACTGTAAAATGCTACACATACAACAAAATAGTCATTTAATGAATGTAGGTTAATTCAACAAATATATAGCATTCGATTATACATGTGACCTACTTAATATGTGGATAGTATTTTGGAGTCGTATGTGGTGGAGTCGTTGATGGTCGTAAATATTTCAATCTTTACGTGGTCAAAGAATAACATCAATAAAGCGTATTTATATATTATCAATATATATTGAGACAAACCGTCAACACCATTACTTACATTGAAACCTGATTTTGATTGAAAGCAGAGTGCAAAGACAACGTACTTGTAGAGTCGATGATGATTTTGAAAAATAGTACTTTACGTCTAAAAATACGTAACAAGCTAAATATGTTATATTCAAATGTATTTTGAAAATGTTTTACATCCGTTAATACATCCTCCGATTACAGGGCTTCAAAATTCAGAATATCTTCTTTCTTTTTACCCCCTGCTATAACCAAGTTGGACGCGCCCGATTAAACTGAATCACGTGATCTAATTATGCGCCGATGACGTATACATGATTGCTGTCGCAGTGTTGAGACAGCCAATCAAATTGTGAGTTCTCAATCGGGGAAATGCTAACTGCTTATAGCAGGGGGAAGAAGGAGGTACGGATTCTGGACACCTGCTAAGGAGGATGCCGTTAATAAGGCAATTTATATTTCAAAGAAGTGAATGGGGGATTATCATGAATAGTGCAGAGGCTTCTCCACACCGTTGATTTCAAGCATGGTGTCGATGATGGTGCCTTCGAGGGCTACACATACTTAATGTCGATTTTCCAATAGTAAATTAGCAAATAAATTAATTCCAGCTAACGTACAATCGACACGATGCAGTCTTTATGATGAAATTGTCAATTATCAAAACAAAATACGTCCCAGAATATAAAAAAGTTACTGTCAATCAACATAAGGGTGATCGGTTACAAGGCAAAAAATGATAGTTTGGAATGTTCGACGATTGATAATGCGTTCAGCTTTTATAACCCTGAGATAAAAACTAAATGATAATTTGCAGGATTAAGAGACGTTTAATTTGATACCAAATACTCATGGTAGAGCGTATATTAAATAGCGGAATAAAAACATATAGTCATGTTACATAAAATTCGTTATAATGAAAGGAATACGTGGCCTGAGTGTTTTGCATCATATTGTATATACTAAGTACATAAATTCTAAATACATAGCCGTTTACATCATATTGTATATCATAAGAACATGAACTCTAAATACATAGCCGTTTACATCATATTGTATATAATAAGCACATGAATTCTAAATACCTAGACTTTTACATCATATTGTATATCATAAGAACATGAACTCTAAATATCTACATGTAGACTTTCACATCATATTGTATATAATAAGGACTTGAATTCTTTTAATACACCTAGACTTTTACGTCACATTGTATATCATAAGTACATAAATTCTAAATACCTAAAATTTTACATCATATTGTATATCATAAGGACATGAATTCTGAATACACCTAGACTTTTACATCATATTGTATATCATAAGATCATGGATTCTTAATACGCCTACACTTTTACATCATATTGTATATCATTAGATACACCATATTATCTTAATACACCGAGACTAATACATCGTATTGTATATCATAAGCGCATGGGTTCTAAATACACCTAGACTTAATTCCATCATAGTGTATATCATAAGCACATGAATTCTAAATACCCAGACTTGTACATCATGTTGTATATTATAAGCACATTGATTCTAAGTACACCTAGACTTTTACATCATATTGTATATCATAAGCACATGGATTCTAAATACCCCTAGACTAATACATTTTATTGCACATCATAAGCACGTGGGTTCTTAATGCAGCTAGTCTTTCACATCATATTGTATATCATAAGCACATGGATTCTAAATACACCTAGACTTTTACATCATGTTGTATATCATATATAAAGCACACGGATTCTAAATACACTTAGACTTTTACGTCATATTGTACATAAACATATTGTATATCATAATTAAATTGATTTTAAATATTGTACACCGAGACAAAATGATATTTGAGTAATGTTTTGGATTTTGTTATTGGCTTCGATGCACTACTACAAACGTTATTAGTGAATATTCATGAAATAAGATATACTCAACACTAAATGGGGGATGTAAAAGGATTAAAATCACAAAATCGAAGGTTGAATAATTAGTCCAGAAATTCCTGCAGTTAAAATCTTGAAATGTAATTTATCTTAAAAAATCTATATGTGGGATTTTTCTTATGGAAACTTTGGACTTAATTTACACTAAATGCTGAAATAGATAGGCATGTCCATTCATTTTAAGAAAATAGGTCTGACAAACGTTGCCACGAAAGCTCAGGAAAATAAAAATTTTCAATTTTTTCTATCTTCGTGCCTTGTTGCAACTTTAATTCCCAATATTCTGCAAAATGTCTCATAAATAGAGAATTTTTCATTGATAATCTTAGACATGTTGAAAAACAGTTTAAAAGTTAAATGGATATTCGTCAAAGTAGATAAAGTCAAAATGAACTGGATGGTAATAAAATGCTTGAAATCCCTAATAAATTACAAATATTTTGCAAATCCCCAAAATGATAAACTTAATATTTACAGAGCATCGTGTGCATAGTAATAAAGAACTTACACGTATGGAGTGAACACATTTTTTTTAATTTTGACCTCAAAATAATTTTGGTGATGTGGCCCGGGGGAGGGGGTCTACCCTCACTTTCTTTTGTGATAGCCACCCTTCAACTTGCTCTGGTGGGTACATTTTTATTGCAATATAATGTACTTTCATCAAACAAAGATTCAGGATTTCTTCATTGTAACGAACAAAATGATACTTCTAGACCAGGAGGATCTTGTACTATCCTCATATTCTTCGTTATCAAATCTTTCGTATCGACTCCCTCTATCACGTGAAACCAAGGACAATTCTGTGCTTGGTCGACTTTGTCTTTGTTCCAGTTCTTCTTTATAATCTTGACAGCAACAGCGACACATCAACGCAATAATTATAGCCAATAGCAAGGCTGCAGAAATCGCAATCAGCATTATCTTCCACCAAAGTAGGCCTAAAATGAAAAATCAAAATCAAAAATATTTTAAAACAAACTGTAACACAACTTGCATTGTATAATTACCTACGACATGAAGCTAATTGTAGATAAGATGCCTGCACTAACAGATTTATATTTTGAAATAAAATGCACGCACTTTTCAAAAGACAAGTGTATAAAAAGCATTACGGTTTATAAAACTTGGGAGGGCAGTTTACAACTCGCTGCAAAATTAGAACATCTACTATTTTTACAAACCTGTTTCACATCTTCTGCCGGCATATCCATAAACACAATTACATTTATGTCCGTCATCACTATCAATACAACTTCCCCCATTTAAACATGTGTAACTTTGACATCCATCAATATCTAAAAATGGAAAACATTTTGAATTAGCTATGATAGGTATTCATGTTATCGAATAAATATAGTTTTACAACATATAAAACAGTTTTAAAGATTTCAGATTTGATAATTTGTATTGGTTTCCCTTCAATCACAAAAGGTTGCAATTGTTCATAGATATTTTATATAATGATTTATTCATTTCATGATTATTTTTTACAATCAAGCACAAACAGAAAGGGAAACAGTATCCACTACTTGTAAATGAATAAGATATATGAATATGTGAATTTTCTTATTTATTTATAAATTATTTGTATTTCTTATATGTGTCATCTTCAATCCCCAAAGTTTATTCCAAAATAGAAGATTGGTCGTAAAAAATTCATGAAAATAAGAGCTTTTCGAGAAAAAGCATATTGAAAAGAACGCTCATGTTGTTCATACTATTGACTGCTACAGAGTCGATTTTAAAAGACCTGTACATACCTGTCTCACAATCACGCCCAGTGAATCCTTCTTCGCATGTACATGTATAATTGTTCACAGCATCTTCACATTCTCCATTGATGCATGGCGAACTCAAACAATCATCTATGTCTACAAGTAGTATGTGGTTTGATTAGTAAATCACTGTTTTCGGGATAAAATACCGAATGACCTTCCAAATCGGATCCCAAGTAGAGGCTTCTATTTTGATGAACGTGTAGGTTTTTAATGTATTAACACCTTTAGGCTACTTCCAGATTTTAAGAATATGTGATGGGTGGTGAGGAAATTATGAACACTGAAGAAGATTGTATCAATATCGATTCAAAATACAAAAAGGGTTTTCCTGTTGTCAAACCTGTGGAGGGGAATGTACTTTCAAGTTTACATTTAGCGCCAGAATCGTTATTTAAAGACTTTGAGAAACAATTATCATATTTAGGTAGAACCAAAGAATAGTCAACTCCATGTTAAATCAATGCACCCTTGCTGAAATTCTCATTATCTCAGAAGAACTCAAGTTGATTGGGTCTCAACAAGTAGATTCATGCAGTTGAATAGTATTGCAAGAATCAATTTCAATAGTAAGGATAAGGGTTCTTAAACAGGACAATATGCTTGCTTTTAGAAAGGATAGGTATCGATATGGTGAACTGAATTCAACAATGTTTTTCTCTTAAACCAATTATTGAAACATTCTGTAAAAAAACATTCTCAATTCTTGAGAATGAAACAAAATGTCTTTCCGAACCTTGTTGGACCAAAATAACATATACAACATTTTCTTAGACCTCTCAATATTTGCATTTATACAAAGGAAATTTTGGTTTATTTAAAAAAAAGTTTGCAATAACTTAAAACAAAAACCCTCAAAATAGACAAAAATTAACTTAAAGATAAACAGTTTATTTCATTAACAAGATACTTTTAAAGATTCAACCAAACTTTCCTTTATACCTAAACACATTGTTTTTATGTCGTTTTTTTCATTGAGGTCTGGATAGATGTTTCATTTCATTCCGAACATATGATACCACGAACAAAAGAAGTGTCTGAGGTGTTTTCTAAAACAATGTAGAGAAATGGATGTATGTATATTTCAAATAATAATATTACCATCCAAAAGATGACCATTAGATTGACGATGTGTAAAATTTTCAGATACCACTCCTTTGCATTGGTACTAAAAGCCACTAACCTGTCTCACATAGTCTGCCAGTATAACCAGAGATGCAGTTACAAGTATAACTATACACACCATCTATACAAGATCCACCATTCTTACAATGTGAACCACCAAACAGTAAGTCTTTGCAATGATCAATATCTGAAATTCAAAATGGCAAATACAGCAAATCAAAGAAATCTTTTTCTTATTAAATTCCAAAAAGATCGTTCGTGACTATCTTCTTGATTACCCTTTTGTATGTATGTATAATTTATTTGCCTCTTAATAACAAGAGAGTTACATTCACAATTTCATACAAAATAATTAAAAAGTAAAAGCATCAAACAAAGATTAATAAAAAGTAGGTAATGTACAGAAATTAGACATTTACGACTCGGGAACGTTTTAAAAACCCTGATTCTTGCATTTTTGTGGAAAAAAATCGAACATACCATCAAGACAAGTCCATTTTGGAAATTTCTTAACCAATCTTTTAACTATCATTAAATCCCAGCTGGATACAGAGGTGGGATTGTCTATAGCTCCAGTGTTAATATCGATGGTATTCGAACAAGCAAGATAATTTGTGGAATCAAAATCAGTGTCAATCACCCATTTTCCCGTTCTTCCAGTAATAGTTCTTCCAGTTAATACAAAGTATATGAAGTAGTCTGCATTACTACGTTTCCTGTAACTAGGCATATTCGCAAATGTCCTATAATTATTCTCATATACACCGTTCATTGAAGAATTCTCCATACCAGAGAGCTGAATACGTCTACATATGTTCCCTATAAAAGCAGAGTCAGATGCATATAGGGGGTGAAAAACTGCAAGTAATGTGTACAGTTGACATACCATTACTTACAATCTCAAATACGATACTTCCCAAAAGATATGTTATCAATTGGTGAAGTAATGTAATGTGAATGTAATGGCTTAACAATGAATCTTGGTGATTAGGAAAAATAATGGCCAAAACGTATTTTTAATTAAATTCTAATAAAATATACAAAAATATTTTTCAAATTTTTTTTTTCAAAATTATCTATACAAAATTATGCTTTACCATCTAAGCAATCTAATTCAACATGCTGTCGTTTCCAGGTACTCACACCAATCCACCAATGGTTCGTTGAAATTGGATCGAGTCCCCTATCAATAGCGGAAATTGCACGAATGCTAGTATCATCAAAATCATCATCTATCACCCAGGCAGCTTTGGAGACTATGTAATACAGGTAATACCTCATGGGGGCCACGTGGTTATAACTAGGCCTGTGACCAATAGATTTATTGTTATTCTCAAAGATGCCGCTATATGCAGTAGTCTCAGATAGCTTTAAATGCCTGCACGTGTTTATACCTATAAATAAAGTTTCAAATTAACGTATTTTGAAATGCATTTGATTCATAAAGTTCGTGTCCGATCCAATCAGTACAAAGCAAGGAAGAATTGAAACTTTTGTGAAATACATAAAGTTTATTAATGGGAAGGGCTGAATATGAGTTTTATAAAGAGTGTCATTCTGTTAGTTGCGAGAAAATATGAACATAATATTGAATAATAAAACCCATATTCAATGCCTTACCAAGAAAGAAGCGTTTTATACCATAAATTGGTATGGATATCACAAGATGATATTGGTATAAGCATAAAACTGTTTATTTTCATAAAATTTAAAATCAACACTTAATAACTTATGCTTTTTGTCGTTTGAAAATGAAAGAAAAGTGAAACCTTTCGAGAAAATGAGTTTTTAAAAGAAAATATTCTATAAAATAAAGAAATGCGTTTGGAAAAGTAAAAATAACTTCTAAAAAAGTAACCGGGAATTAATAGTATCATGATATAAGTAAGATCCAAGTCACAGGGAAAAGGGTCTTATCACAGATGTTTTCAATATTCTGTTTTTTATCAAACAAAGCACACGTGTCTTAACAATTTTGCATATATAAACCAAAAAGTCGGATTTGAATTCAGCACATTTTCCTCTAAATCTTTGACACATTTTTGGCTCTGTAGCACAATTTAATGTTTGTGATAAGACCGGTTCTCCCATGGCCTCATATATATACCTTCTTTGAAAGCTACTATTGATATTCCGTCCATTACTGCCCAGTCATAGCCGTCATCATTGGCCGTGTACAGAGGCTCGGTTATAAATTCTGGGAACTTTGCATCACTTTCGATCTTCACATACAAGGATTTGCTTCCTATTTTTCTACCTATCGCCCAAACTAACCATGGGTCTACTGAGTAGTAGAGGTACAACTCTCCCGACTCATGTCGATAAGATGGTCTATGATTGAAAAGCAGAGTTTGATTCGAGGCATCTACTTCTAATGTATACACACCAAACGTCAAATTGTTATATAATTGTCTTGTTTCCCCTCCTATGTACAGCATTGGGCTTGGATTGAGTGCAGCTGAAAATATTGGAGAGGTTAAGCTAACGATGTTTTTCACAACGTAACCGTGAACGCAAAGTACAAAAATTAACAAAGGAATGTATCGAGCGCTCATAGTTTTATGCGCGCTTACACCCCAGTCACATTTGTCGCACGGCGGCCGCAAGTCGACCGCAGATCAATTAAATCGGTGAATTTCTGCGGCGAGCGTAGAAAAACTACGCTCGCCTTGCGGCCTCCGTACGGCCTATGCAGATTTTTACAGGCCGCAGGGAAGGCGTAGAAATTATATGTCGGAGTTATAATATTTGTTCATTTCTGAGGTCCCCGTAGAAATCAACTGGCTCAACAAGATTGAATCATTATTTGTCAATGTTTCACGATCACTTTTCATTTGATATTACATCCTAGCACTTTGAATAACATTTATAAATTGTCCTGATGTAAATAAAATGAAAAAAACTATTATTATCAATAGAAATTTAAAATTCACCGTGCGGCTGCCGTGAGAAATGTGACTGCAAAAGTATGAGAGCGCAGAAATTCTGCGGCGAGCGTAGAAAAGCTACTGGCCGCAGAAATGATAGACCGCAAGGTCGCCGTAGGAAATGTGACTGGGGTGTTAGTCTACTTCAGATACTCTTTCAGCTTCAGAGTTTCGGGTTTAGAACGGGAGTTTTTGAAATTTGACGTTGGGTCAAGGGGAACCATTTTACTCGTGTCTATTGAACACTATGCTGTCAATTTTGATTTCGATGCACAGTTGAATTCTTGCTGAACACGATGATGTATGCCATGCATGATTTAGCGCCAAAAATCTTACGAAACCAGCTCGTTTAAAATATGTATTAGAAAACCAGCTATAAAACCGCATCAATGACATACTATGGAATCATTACACGCTATGGTGTAGTCTAAACAAACACTGGATTTGAACGGCTATTTATATGAGAAGGCTACATGAATTTGTATATGGTCGAGTTATACGTACAGGTTCAGTTTCGATTATGTATGCAAAGCTTAACCTCTCCAATCATATCGACGAAAACGTATCAAGCAGTGAAGAAAACAAGGCCATTGATTGAATGCCAATGTATCATTTTCGGGTTTTTCAAATACCCTAGCTTTTCCCCCTCGTGTGTTTAGGGCGAGTACAGTGGCTTTCATCAATATTCCCATTTTTAATTCACACTGACACCATTTGGCGTTCAACATAGAAATAAATTTACATCGACAGATTATCTTGATCACCAGTTCTTATGAAGGTTGAGAACGATTGTATAAAAGCAACGATTTTAAAATCAAAGTGTGTTTCACTGCATATTGCGTCGTTATATATATGAAAACCAAACTCGGCTTAGTTTATTAATTATAATTCAAACGAACGATCAATAGTTCAACAATTCGTAATAAACAATACTTACCAATCGTGCTCCACAGGGAAGAAATAATCACGAACAAAATCGCTGCCATTTTTGTTGATTTCAAAGTTTCAGGCGGATAACTACATGCAGGTGTACATGCCGTAGATACACGGTTTGGTAATGTAACACTTTATGCGCACATTTAATTCACTATTCAACACAAATAAAACAGAAAGGTCGCAACGATCCAAGAGACTCTAAAATTTAACATTGAACGAGGAAGGTCACCACGCTTCCTTTAACGACTACTAGTATATCTAACAACGACAAATAGTTGGGACTTTAACATATGGCTATGAGATGTTTTATAAAACATATTTGAAAAATCTGAAACAAAATACATCAATTTAAAAATAAGGGCATAATGGGTAGTTACCATGTTTTATATCCTTGCAAAAATCTAAATCGATCAATGGAACAAGAAAAACAAACCTTTACTGTGTCAATTTAAAACTAGAGAAACTTTTAAAACTTCTGATGTAATTTTGACCGTATGCATTCTTCTTGACCTATGTTTAACATAGTGTCATGATCAAAGTGTTATTTTTCATTTAAGTATACTAGTTTATATATCGTGTGCGTGAAATTGAAACGTTTTCGGCCTCCTTAAAGGGTTCCGATAGGCTTCCCATATAAAAACAAATGGCGTCTCCAAGCCAGTCAACTGGATCAATCCATTTTCAAGATATAATGGGAGTTTTGTCAAAATCCAGTTAATTGACATTTTCTTGGAGATAAGTAATCCGTTGATAATGATTCTGAAAACATCGAGAGAGTGATTGTTAAAAGAATGCATGTACAACAGCCATTATATAAACTCATGTTTTAGAACTGCTTTGTTTCATTTGGAGGATATTTCAAATGTCACGCTGTGTACTAATACGTTTTGAGGAAAATATGTCAATTTTTCCTTATTACACACAAATAAAAGATCCCGAAACTTCACCCATAACTGTGAAATTGATTTGTGAAGATAAAATCCCCCCTTTATAATTGTGTGACGATCAATAATAGAGTCATTTCTAAGGGCAATATAGTGAAATATTGGACCGAGGGCCACCGAGGGCCGAAGGCCCAAGGTCCAATATTTCGCTATATTGCTCGCAGAATTGCCGGTCCAGAATATATTCTAGACCGGTCCATATGGACCACCACTATGACGACACACATTTCTCAGGTCGATATAGTAAAATGAACGCCTTCTAAACTAGCACTAAAACCCCTAGAATTGGCCCGGCAAGGTGGTAATAATATACTTATGCTATTTATGTAATACATTGATATAAATTGAAGGAGGGGAACCAGTCTACCTAAATGCCATCTTTTATTACACACACGTTATAATGTTTATTTCATGTTGGTGACTTGACTATTTTATTTCGAATGGTGGATTTTAAAAGAATATACACATTAGCTATTTAAATGTGGCAAACAATAGCAAAACACTTCTCATTTTCATAGCATGGGGGATTTTTAACAAGTTTCGCCGCTCGCTTCGCTTGCATGATTTTTGGGTCAATTTTTGCTGCTCGCATCACTCGCGTACTTTGTCAAATGTACTTCAGCAGCTCCCAAAGGGCTATTACTATTTCTTCACTTACAAAATGTAAATAAACACCAAGACCAAATCTCATCGATGCTGCCTCAAATACGAAGAGATCTTCCCTTGGCCCGTTTATGATTATATTTAGAACCCTGGGCAGGTGAAGCAAGCATGGGGAACGGGGGGGGGGGGGGTTGAAGCAAGCAGGGGGGGGGCAAGGGGTAAATTGATTGAGCAGGAGGAGCGTCATGCAATTAGATTCTGGGGAGAACCCACGAAACTGTTTGAAGAACTGTTTGATACCTCCAAATCCGGCCAGAAGACACATATTTTCATCAATGTGTTACTTAGTTCTCGACCATTTCACATGAAAGCCATACCATCAAGATCTTACCCGGGGACACCTAGCAATGGCATGTATATGCGCATACGAATTAACATTCGCGTATTGAACTTAATGTAGGTAAAAATATAATTAAGTCTATTAAAATGTTGGAAGACATTTTGAGAATAGGTAAATATGAAATCATATCTAGTTGAAATATCATTTTACATTCTCCAGATCCAGAAGCCACGTAATTGTTTCCGATTGTTACTTAATTCCACGCCGTATAGTTCTTATAAATGTCATTGTTAAGAAATCTCACTAGATGGCTTAGCCACGACTTGTATGTTTATACGCCTGGGAAAGGCCGACAAAAGAAATGTATAGCGCTACGCATATAGCGTGTGTGCCTACGACATTGAGACTAGCAAATGCACACTTTCATGAATAACTAATTATAACACTTTAAATCCCACTTGGGTAGCAACACAATAGAATTTGCTGTGGTTTATTTTTAAGAATGTATGGTTTTATCAAAAGGAAAGTGCACTATTTTTCTATTGTTTTTAAAGAATGTACACTTGGCAAGCTATCAAAAACAAGTGAGACATAAATGACCATTGACAGTTTTTGATAGTTTTCATTCCTTAAAAACAATATACAAAAATACATGTACCATTCTCTTGTTACTGTGCATTCTTTAGAATGAAACAATTTAATTTTTGTTGCTATCTACATCATTGATCTTATCTTACTTACAAATTCTGCTGTATTCAAATTCAATGTTCTGGACTGGACAGTCACCTGTAGTGCACTGAAGCTAGACTAATTATAGCCCACTCAGTCACTTACATCAACTCACACTCATGAGGTCAATGCAACCAACTCTTTTTGTTGTTACAATTAATTGGCTATATAACAACAAATTTTAACCAATAAGAGTCAGGGTCATTGTGAGCCTGGTTGAAGTTTGCAAAATTCACAGTTTGAATAGTCAATACAAAAGAAATCACATTTTTCCGGATTAAACACCTTTTAACTGTAATATAATAGACCATTTACCTGTAGTGTAGTTCGAATTCGATTTGATAAGAAATAATAACCTCAGGCCTTCGGCCTTCGGTGTATTATTTCTTATAAAATCTCATTCTTATGCTTTATCCAGTACCTAAGTCCAATTATAGTTGTATAACAGGTGTCTATAACAATAATATATAATGGAGAGTGGTATATCGTCATCGTATACACTCCTCCGTGTACCACTTTAGCGTATACCACTGTAGAAGTGCATTTTGGGAACTAATCAATATAGAAAAACTTTTACTGCTATTGAAATAGCGTGGTTGTGCATCATAGTGACAACTAGCCACAGTCTACCCATAAAGACTAGCGATCTGCGCAGGCGCATAAGTTAAAATGTACTAGAAGTTCACGTGATATCTCTGCCTGCATTGATCTTCTGCAAAAACAACAATGGCGGATGTCGTAGGATTAAAACTTTTGACCGAGAAAGTGAACTGGTAGAAGTAGGAGGCATCGAGGAATCTAAGGTTGATGTGAATGAATTTATCATGGATCAGAGAAACCTGAACATATTACATGTTTCAAATGATTCTGATATACATCTGCAACACAACTTAGATTTTAACGATTTTTCGGGAAGTATATTTTCATATGCCATAATAATAATATAATTCAACTAATTTGGAGACATTTTGAGAGTGACAACAGATTTTGGTGGCAAGTTGTTATACTGATATGTACTTCCAGAGAGGTTCAGATTGAAGTTTACTGTATTTGTGCTGGATGGATTCAACACCACTGCTACAATAGCACCATCGGGGGCTTCAAAGGCAACCGTGTGTACATCATCCCAACCAAAGTTTGAAGAGTCAATACGAACAGATCCAGTGGGAACAAACTTGCTGAAGTGTCCGATCAGGTAATATTCAACCTCCCGTTGATAACTTGTCCGGTCTACCGTGATCACTCCTCTACAATCCGAACACCCACCAACTCCTACTTTTGGACCGTGATTTGAGTCTAGAGCCATATTCCATAACAAAACAGTTTTCGCCCAAACTCTGGGTTGACCAATAAACAACAACCTTGTGTTCCATACAAGATTATTGCCGAAATCCGGAGACCATTCACCACCTGAACATTCCGTGAAATAGATATTCTTATCGGGGAATTGATTTCTCACCCCACCGGGACTGTCGTGGTTCCCCCCATAACAATGCCATGCTGATCCATCAACGAACGCTCTTGTGCCTTGGTCATTCAAGATTCCTGTTGTAAACGCCGTATCGTCCCAGTTGTGATCGTAAACAATTATCTTGGTGGATGTTGCGGACAAACGCGGTCCTAGGTGTTCTCTAACAAAGGTACTCTGTTGCTGCCACCACATATGCTGGGTTGGGTAGTCCTGGCTCTCGTGCAGTGGTTCATTTTGAACAGTTATTGCATTTATCGTGATACCTGTATAAAGGTTCATAGTTCATGTAGTTATAGTAAGATGGGACATTATACATGTAGTATGAAATATTCCCAACAAAAAATTGTTTAAATTTTAGAATATTTCCGGCTCATGTCATTCCGCTTATGTAAATTTCCAAGTGCAAAACTAAAGATTTTTACAATAATGTATTATTTTTTTATAATAATGGTTACCATTCTTATTATTTGGGAGAATTTAAACATTTTCACTTATTTTTGCAATTTGAATCCATCCACCAATTTATAACATGTCGTGAATCTTTTGAGAGATATTGTATTTGAGATTGTACATGTTGTAAGGAATAGATTGGTAGGTCAAATTGTACACATTTGTCACCCCCATACTGCCATAGATCTGATTCTGCTAACTCACAAGAAACAGAAATATTATTTACCTTCGCTGGCATACGCTTGGACAAACCGGAGGAAATAGTCAGCATAGACAGACATGCATTCATCCCGTAGGAACCCACCATTTAAACTCCGAGTGTTTTTCATCCAAGCAGGTGCACTCCATGGAGTCGCCATAATCTTCAAGGTTGGATTTGCGGCTAAAGCATCTTTCAAGACGGGGATGATGAAATCACGGTCATTGTCAATGCTGAAGAAATTAAGCGCAAAATCCTCTCCGCCAGAAGGCATATCATTGTATGTATAGGGAGCGACCGCTTGGAAATCTGACCCACCCATAGTAAGGCGGATATAACTGATGCCAATACCATCCTTGCCAAAGAGATCGTTAATGATCTGACTCCGCTGCGGACTACTGTAGATGTTGTATGCTGCGGCGTTCGTTATCGCTGCACCAAAACCATCCATGGTTTGATATCGTGTGGTTGGGTTGATGTTAACGGAAAATCCATTTGTTGGTTCACTATTTTCATCAATAGACGTACCTTGAGATAATTTCTTCGACTGGTCCCCAGTTGTCAACCAAACATCAAACCTAATTTATGAATGTGTTTATCAATAGAAACTGTGTCGGGATTTGTAGCATCTATAGATGGACCATGGAACGGTACATATTGAGTGTTCTATAAACAATAAACCCTTAGCAAATGACAAAAAAGTTATTGTATGTACCACTTTAGATGAATACTATTATTTTCATGATTTTGTTGAATTGTAAAAGACGATACGTTCATTTATTGTGGAGACTGTTGGAAGACTGACAAACCGATTGCTCTAAAATTGATTTTCTTTGTTCCAGACATCTAGCATATGCATGACGTATTTTGTATGTATTATAGTACTATTGATATAGTATGAGTAATAATTTATTTTGCAAGGAATGAGTGCCATATCCCAGACATCATGCATTATATTAAAATAGGTAATACAGCATACGTTATCAATTGGGATTTATTTTACAAGGAATAGCTACATGTATCATTTATAATGGTTGATGTGGGCAAGTCGACTTGACGTCTAGCTAAGTGGTACTAATTCATATGGCTGGTAATCGAGCAGTTGGATTTCAACAAGGGTGCATTGACTTATCATGGGGATATACAGATATACACCATTGACTATTATGATTTAAGAGATAGATGTTTAAATCCTTATTATATCAGAAGAACTCAACAAATACATTTGGCTGTTTGGGTGATAGTTTTGGTGAATATTTTCAATACAGTAGTAAGAATAGGGGTTCCTAAACATGTCAACTTACCTATCTAAGGTCTTTTTGAAAATTTTTGGTTAGTTTTATATGCACTGTATGCTTTCACCACTTATTAACGTGTTTTAGCTTCAACTAACCTGCCGGGTGGACGAGCCAATTCCACACCATCAAGAAGCCCGAAGACCAATGCAAAAGTCAGATACCGAAAATACATCCCGGTTTTCAAGCTGGAGGTTTGAATACTGTAAACACGGGAGTTCAATTATGGGTGATATTATCATTAGTTAATCAGTAGCCCGTGTCAAAGTCCGTATATTAAGGCCATTATGATACACTATACACTACCATGTAAAATAACACATATGGTACCTAGAATTAGATATAATTTAGAAAGAACTGATATTAGTTTAAGAGAGTACATTTTATTTGTTTTGTGAATTACTACGTATTATTTGTATTTTGGAAGTACTTTAAGTTCAATGCGTACCCGCCTAGACTGAAGTTTACTTAGTAATAGACTAAAGTCAACAGTGCTCACAATAAATAAAAGGCATCTTGATTTTCTTTCACCATTCCCAGACCATGATTATTTTAGACTTCATATTTTCCAATAATGTCTCTATCATTCTATACACATCCCTTAAGTTTTGTATACTCTGAACTTCATGTATGGTTACTTGGAAATGGGAAATCCTCACTTAAGCAAATCTAGGTGTCATTTATTTTTGGTGAGCACTGTATGCTAGTTAAAATCCAACTTAACTGCATTCATACTTCAACATCCGAATTTATATATTAGTACACCAATGATTGCTCCATTGGGAATTTCACCAAAAATAACCCAGACAAGAGATTCAATCATTTTTAATAAATCTAATCGAAAGCAGATGTTAGGATCACCCTGTATATTTAAGTAAGAGTAGATCACAACTGCACAAGGATGGTATTTCCACCATGTCTCCAAAAAATATAATGGATCATTTCAAAAAAAGTTTTCTCCCTAAATTACTCAATGACGAGCAGTGTAGAGAATGCAATGAGAAACACCCAGCTGGTGATTAGGCTGTCGCCAATTTTATGTTATGAAACAATTTATCAGAGGAGGATTGGCAACTACCATTATTTGAACTTGGTCTTCTGTTTACGGGTGAGATAAGTGATATTCACTTCACGCATAGCAAGGCAAGGTGTGTCCAGTTTCAGCCAACCAGAATACAGTATTTCTGTTGAAGTCATGCAAAAATCTGGAAACAACACTTTCGTCGAATGATTCAATGTACAATGCATTGACTCCGGGGCTAAATCCTTAATAACAGTCGGTGTATGTCGCGATACCACACTAATGTATTAATGGTAAATACCAGGATACAAAATGCTAATTTAACGACCGCAGTGTATACACCTGCTATTATTTAGCTCTTTGATGTGCTTGTGAATTTCATTTATATGCAAATTAATGAATTACACAAGTCATTAAAAGTAAAGAAATAAACTAGTGTTTAGTAAACAAATGAATAAAATATAAGAAATTACACAAATCGGACAATACATTCCAGAGGGAAATTTTTTACACTATTTCCCGAAAATGTGGCAGTCACTATTTGTATACTAATTAACTTATTTATCTTATTTCATTCATGATTCGTTTACTCTGTAAACAAAAACAAAATGAGAAGTCTTCATTTCAATATTTATGTTTACGGTACATGTTCTTATTGGTATTTAAAGGCATTTTGCCTTTTAACTCCCATATTCTCACCTATCGGGGAAAATAAAGCGTACTAATGACTGGTCACATCTTCATCTTCCCTGATTCCAGGCCTAGGGATTTAGGACTTTCCAGGAAATTAGTTCATCTATTTCATATCATGTGACCATATATGCCAATGAGCATCTAGAATACATTTGAGGTATATATTAAAAGAAGAGAACGATCGAAAAATAAATAATATATCAACTTTTACCATATTCATAATTTTGGAGAATTTCTACTTGAGGAGCGTATTCTCGACACTAATCATTCTGCATAATTTCACTCAAAAGATTGTTATGTCACCACCAAAAGTGGTGATGGCGGTTGGCGATCGACGGTTGGCGTCTCTAACAATTTCTTTAAACTTCCGATAACTTAACACATACTGTTTATACTGGCTTCAGTTTTTCTCAAAATTATCTTCTATGTTTTCAGAAGTTCAAATCTGACTTTATTCTTAAGATTTGACCTTCAATGTAAAAAAGGTCAAAAAGGTATTTTTCAACTTGCTTCAAATTATACATTTCTTTCAAAATCATCTACAAGTTATCAGAAGTTCAAATATGACTTTCGATTTGAGATTTGACCTTCTCAAGGTCAAAAAGGTATTTGTTCAACTTCTTCAAGTTGACCAATTTTTTTCATCAGAATCATCTAGGCTACAAGTTCTCAAAAGTTCAAATCTGACTTTAGATTGAGCAACTAGGTGGTGACATTTTGCCATGTTAATGCCTTATTTGTTTTGTTATGGCTAAGAATAAATAATGATTTTTGTGGAGTACCTAACATACAGTTGCCAACTCCAGATTTAAATCGGGAGATTCCTGTTTTTTAACCCATCTCCTGCGCAATTTTGCCATCTCCCGATTTTCTCATTTTGTAATTTTTCATCATCTCCCGATTTTTTCTCCCGATTTCCCCCGATTTCTACAAACGCATGTTTTAGGTAAAAATCCCCCGATTTGGTCTGTGTCCTCCCGTTTTTTCCTCCTACCTCCCGATTTTTAACTTGAATCCGAGTACTCATCGATCGTCTCCAGTATCTTACATAAAAGTCAATTAACTCCAGCGACATCTAATCATGAAAAACAAAGTTAATCTAATATAAATGTCCAATCAACAACAAGGAAATTAGCGCACGCGCAACAATTTTAATCAGTAAGAGCGAATCCATCCTTTATTAAGATCCTAGCGCATGCGTATTACGTAGATAATCTACTGAGTGGAGGCGATAAGAATCTGCACAAGTATGTCCGTGAAACGGGGTAAGAATGATTTTGTCTATTTATGCTCGATTGCGTAAGAAATTCACATGTCTGTTTTTACTTGCTATCGTCTTTACTAAAAGAAACATGTTTTTAAGAGGTCTCCTTCTTTTAAAGAAAATCTCCTGTTTTGACAGAAGATCTCCTGTTTTTTACTTGGTATCTTTACCAAGAGAAACTTCCTGTTTTGTAAAGAAGTCTCCTGTTTTTAAAGAAAATATCCTGTTTTCTCTTGATTTTTAGGAAAATATCCTGTTTTCTCCTGTTTTAAAAGAAAATACCCTGTTTTCTCATGCTTTTAAAATAAATTGTTTTCTCCTGTTTTTAAAGAAAATCTCTTGTTTAGAATGAAAATCTCCTGTTTTTTAGATGGTAACTTGTTTTCTAAAAGAAACCTCCTGTTTTCTCCTGTTTTTTAAAAGAAGTCTCCTGTTTTCTCCTGTTTTTAAAGAAAATCTCCTGTTTAGACTGAAAGTCTCTTGTTTTCTCCTGTTTTTTAGATGGTTACTTGTTTTCTAAAAGAAACCTCCTCTTTTCTTCTGTTTTTTAAAAGAAGTCTCCTGTTTTCTCCTGTTTTTTTCAGTAAAAGTCTCCTGTTTTTCTCCTGTTTTTTTTGCAAAATATCTCCTGGATTCTCCTGGGTTTTTTTCTCTGAGAGGTTGGCAGGTATGCATTTTAGATACATGGACGACGGTGTACAACGATACTCTTGTCTTATATTAATAGTGGGGTGGCAGGATTTCTTAGTGTTTTCAATTATGGTGGCAGATTAAGCTGCCCCGAGGGACCCATAAACGCCACTTCGAAAAACTTATGGTTGAAGAAATATATCGTTTCAACACACGAGACTTGTTCGACTCGCTACTATTAAGTCAACCATTATTTTAGGAGTGAAATATCATTTGTTAGAATTCTACATTTTCTAGGTTTAAGTAGAAAGATATATATGTTCTAAAATTAATCCTCAATTATTGAGGCTGGAATAGCATTGATTACTATTTTGGAAAGCAGTAAAATAGTTAGAATCACAAAATACTATTTATTTGTGACGGTTTTATTTTAATATATAATTAATATGAATGGCTTTAAAGAGAAAATGGATGTAAAAACAATGATGCTATTTGTCTCAAGGTTAAAATATACCATAGAAAAGGGGAAATGTCAGGAATGAGGTTGTAATGATAGGCTATTACAGACGTCTTCGAGTTTCAAAGTTAATAAAATAATGCTTTCATGAACAGGGGGCAATATTTTGACATTTTCCAAAAATCCAAAATAGAATCACCTTTATTTTTTTAGATAAAGGGTACAGAGATAAAGTGTACTTTATGACGGTCTTTTGGCAGTCTGGTGTCTGATGACGACTAATGATATGTTGTAACACAGAGTGTGCATTTTAACCTGTCAAATAGGACACCTCCATGTAGACCACCTCTATAAGTAGAACACCTCAATAAGTTGAACACCTTCATAAGTAGAACACCTCAATAAATAGAATACCTCTGTAAGTAGAACACCTCCATAAGTGAAACACCTCCATAAGTGAAACACCTGCATAAAAGGAACACCTCCATAAGTAGAACACATCAATAAGTAGAAGACCTCCATAAGTGGAACACCCCTATTAGTAGAACACCTTCATAAGTGAAACACCTCCATAAGTTGAACACCTCCATAAGTGGAATACCTCCATAAGTGAAACACTTCCTTTATAAAGAACCAGGAGGGCGTTGTTCCATTTGTTTGACTGTCTGTGATTCTCGAGCATTTAAAATGTAGGCTACTGTCCATTTAAAATTGGCCGATATGGTTAGGAAAATGGCGCCAAATGCTCATTCTTTTATACCCCGGCGTGCCTTTAATTGTTCTGTACATGAACAATCGAGATTCTTTACCTGATTTCCTACTTATTTCCAGCATTGTTACACGCAAGATTGAAGAGTCGGTGGCATAACTTTCTCTTAAAATGGCTGCTTGTCGGAAATGAACACTCTATAACTGTATATGCGACAATGAACGTTGCGGAAATTATTAAAAGCCATTACTCAACTGAGACAAATCAAATATACCTTGCTTGGGACGACTTTAGTTATATATTTTGATCGTATCTATAAATAAATGAATTATGTCTGTGTTTCATTGTGATTACTAGTAATTGCTCTTTATCCAGCAACGTAAAGGATGTTTATTTGGTTCACATGGTGGGCAAGTAGAATCACCCGTCCGTTTGGCCGTAAATATATATAAATACATAACGTACGTACAATTTCCAGTATGAATTCTAATTGTAGTTGCAATAAATAGTAAACATTTTCCAACAATATGAATCCTTTTGTGAAGTATATTATTGAGCAGCTGCGTTCTCTGCTTCAGTATGGTTTTAAATGTTCGAGTGCGGGCCGATCTGATTTCCCTTCATCCGCAACAGTTTTCGAAGCTCCCGGCGAAACGTAAAAAATCAATGGAATTATTTGTGTACATGAGTAAATTACATATAGCAAAGTAAAAAACAAAACGAAAGAGATGGCGCAAACTGTGATGAAAGTTGTAAAACTAGTACAGTATACCCGAGCTTTGTAGGGAATATAAACTGCAACTAGCCTCTCAAACGTTACCGCAACTAAGATCCACGCAGATAAATCCAAGGAAAAGTAAACTAGGAATATGTGAAATTTACATCCACCAAGTGTGATACTCCGTATGTCTATGTCGGAAATGTGACGTATCCAATGTCGCAAAAGACCAGTGTAAAGTACAGTTGTATCAACTACAGCCAGGACGCTGAGATAAATACTAGACGTGCTTTTCCGCATGTTCTTCCTGGTGAGTATGATAAAAGATAAAGTGTTTCCTATTGTACCGACAATAATGATCAGCGGTGCACAGTATGTCCATAATTCCTTGGCTATTGTTGCCTAGGTGACAATATCTGCCATCGTTGAGCTCATCCTGTTGGTAACTGAGCTTTCTTGAGTGACTAAACTCGTATCGTTGGTAGTAGCCATTTTGAAGTAAAATAGTGAACAAATATCTAAAAAACAAAATAAATTGATAGATTAAAGCTCTAGAACCTCTTACCATGTAACATCATTACAAAACTGAAATAATTCCGCTAAATGAATAAAATAAAAGAAATTACACAAATTGAAATTGGACAGTATATTCCCGAGTGGAAATTTTACACTATTTCCCGAAAATGTGGCAGTCATTATTTGTATACTTATTAACTAATTTCTTTTATTGTATTCATGATTTGTTTACTCTGTAAACAAAAACAAAATGAGAAGTCTTCATTTCAACATTTATGTTTACAGGTTCTTATTGGCATTTAAAGGCATTTTGCCTTTCATCTCCTATAATCTCACCGGGGAAAATAAAACGTACTATATAATGACTGGTCACATCTTCATCTTCCCTGATACCAGGGATTTAGTACTTTCCCTTATAAATTAGTTCATCTATTTCATATCATGTGACCATGAATAAGACAATGAGCATCCATAATACATGTTAGGTATATAATAATAGAAGAGAACGATCAGAAAAATAAATAATGTATTAACTTTAACCATATTCATAATTTTGGGGAAATTTTTACCTGAAGAGCGTATTCTCGACACAAATTATTTTTCATAATTTCACTCAAAAGATTGTTATATCACCACCAAAAAGTGGTGATATATTGGGGTGATCTCCTTTTTTGTGACGGCTGTTGGCGATCGGCGGTTGGCGTCTGTAACAAATTCTTTAAACTTCCGATAACTTAACACATACTGTTTATACTGATTTCAGTTTTTCTCAAAATCATCTTCTACAAGTTTTCAGAAGTCTAACTTTATTATTAAGATTTGACCTCAAGGTCAAAAAGGTATTTGTTCAACTTGCTTCAAGTTGACCAATTTTTTCATCAAAATCATCTATGAGTTCTCAGACGTTCAAATCTGACTTTAGATTGAACTAATAATATTATGAGCAACAAGGTGGTGACATTTTGCCATGTTAATGCCTTGTATTTGTTTTGTTATAGCGAAGAATGAATAATGATTTTTGTGAAGTACCTAACATTTTAGATATATGTGCGACGGTGTATAACAATACTCTTCGCTTATACACTCCCCTCCATAAGTTTGGCAACCTTTTTCCCCCATTGAACTACGTGTTAAAGCCTCTTTACCTTTGAATTTTTATTTACTTAACCTGCTATGAAATGTTTATACTATTGATGAAAACGTAATTTGACTTTAATTCCAATACCTCCAAATTTTCTCAATTTTTTTCCTCAATTACAATAGGTCGAAAATTGATGATAAATTTGATGAATTTTTGAAAATCGACATTTCAATGTTAACAAATGGGAAAGGTTTGCCGCAAGTCAATTGACAGAATATCCATCCATCCGAGTCCTTGCAAAAAATACGAGTTAGGCAGGCAATTGAATTTGCTAACTTGATTTAACAAAAAATTGATATGTTTCTTCAGGTTCAACAAAGTTATAGGCCTTTAAAGTCAAAATTGTTTTTCCAAAAACCTCTCCCATTGAAATAACACAGGAGGCGAAAATTTATTTTCAAAAATGACTTTGAAGCACTGTAACTTTAATATTCATCAAATAAACTTATCACTTAGTGTTCAAAAAAGTTAGCCAATTCAATTTTCTATATAAAAATATTTTTTGCTGAATCTTTTACTGAAAAGATATCCTGATTTCTGATTTGCCCCGAACCCTCCATTTCCCATTGGATTACATGGGAATGACGATTTTCAAAAATTCATCCAATTTATCATCAATTTTCGACCTATTGTAATTGAGGAAAAAAATTGAGAAAAATTGGAGGTATTGGAAATAAAGTCAAGTTACGTTTCCATCAATATTATAAGTTATTTCATCGCCAGTGAAGTGAATAAATATTCAAACGTAAAGAGGCTTTAACACGTAGTTCAATGGGGAAAAAAGGTTGCCAAACTTATGGAGGTAGTGTATGAATAGTGGGGTGGCAGGATTTAATGGAGTTTTCAATTATTTTATGGTGGCAGAATAAGCTGCCCCGAAGGACCCATAGACGCCACCTCGAAAAAACCTATTGTAGAAATAGTAGAATTGTATTTGCAGATTTTATTTATTCGATTTAATTCTAGTAAGCCAACCATTATTTTAGAAGCGAAATATCATTTGTTAGAATTCTACATTTTCTAGGTTTAAGTAGAAAGATATGTATGTTCAAAAATTAAACCTCAATTATTGAGACTGGAATAGCATTGATTACTATTTTGGAAAGCAGTAAAAAAGGTAGAATCACAAAATACTATTTATTTGTGACGGTTTTATTTTAATATTTAATTAATATGAATGGTGTTAAAGAGAAAATGGATGTAAAAACAATGATGCTATTTGTCTCAAGGTTAAAATATACCATAGAAAAGGGGAAATGTCAGGAATGAGGTTGTAATGAAAGGCTACTACAGATATCTTCGAGTTTCAAAGTAAATAATCCTTTCATGAACAGGGGGCAATATTTTGACATTTTCCGAAAATCGAAAATAGAATCACCTTTATTGTAGATAGAGGGTACAGAGATCAAGTGTAGTTTATGAACTTATGAAGGACTCTGGTGTCTGATGATGACTAATAGTATGTTGTAACACAGAGTGTGCATTTTAACCTGTCAAGTAGAACACCTCCATGTAGACCAACTCTATAAGTAGAACACCTCCATAAGTGGAACACCTCCATAAGTAGAACACCTCCATAAGTGGAACACCTCCATAAGTGGAACACCTCCATAAGTAGGACAGATCCATATGTGGAACAATTACAATAAGTAGAACCTAAATAAGGGGAAAACCTCCATAAGTGAAACACGTGAATAAGTGGAACACCTCCATAAGTGTAACACCTCAATAAGTGGAACACCTCATAAGTGGAACACCTCCATAAGTAGAACACATCCATAAGTGGAACACCTCCATAAGTTGAACAATTACAATAAGTAATTTCCATAAGTGGAACACCTAAATTAGTAGAACACCTCCATAAGTGGAATACCTCAATAAGTAGAACACCTCCATAAATGGAACACCATGGAATAAGAGATATGGAGGTTCTGGATATGGAACACCTCAATAAGTAGAACACCTCCATAAGTAGAACACCTCCATAAATGGAACACCTCAATAAGTAGAACAGCTCCATAAATGGAACACCTCAATAAGTAGAATACCCCTGTAAGTGAAACACCTCCATAAGTGGAACACCTCAATTAGTAGAACACCTCCATAAGTGAAACACCTCCATAAGTTGAATACCTAAATAAATAGAACACCTCCATAAGTGAAACACCTCCATAAGTAGAACACATCCATAAGTGAAACACCTCCTTTTTAAAGAACCAGGAGAGTGTTATTCCATTGGTTTGACTGTCTGTGATTTTTGCAGCTATTAATTCTTGAGCATTTAAATTATACTGTCCATTTCAAATTGGCCGATATGGTTAGGAAAATGGCGGGAAGTTATGTCATGGACTTTAAAATCTTGCTGAAAACAGTACAAAACCATAAAAAAATTATTTTGTCGAGAATCAAGATACAACGCCAAATGCGTATTATTTTATACCCCGGCGTGCCTTTAATTGTTTTGTACATGAAGAATCTGGATTCTTTACCTGGTTTGGTACTTATTTCCAGCATTGCTATAAGCATGGTTGAAGAGTCGGTGACATAACTTACTCTAAAAGTGGCTGCTTGTCGGAAATGAACACTCTATAATTGTATATGCGAATGTTGCGGAAATTATGAAAAGCCATTACTCAACTGAGACAAATGAAATATACCTTGCTTGGGACGACTTTAGCTATATATTTTGATCGTATCTATAAATAAATGAATAACGTCTGTGTTTTATGGTGATTACTAGTAATTGCTCTTCATCCAGCAACGTAATGGGTGTTTATTTGCTTCACATGGTGGGCACGTAGAATCACCCGTCCGTCTGGCAGTAAGTATATATAAATACATAACGTACGTACAATTTCCAGTATGAATTCTAATTGTAGTTGCAATAAATAGTAAACATTTTCCAACAATATGAATCCTTTTGTGAAGTCTATTATCATGATTATTGAGCAGCTGCGGTCCCTGCGTCAGTGTGGTTTTGAATGTTCGAGTGCGGGCCGACCTGATTTCCCTTCCTCCTCAACAATTTTCGAAGCTCCCGGCGAAACGCAGGACCAGATAGACAGTAAAGCAAAAAATTGATGGAATTATTTGTGTACATGAGTAAATTACATATAGCAAAGTGAAGCTTCCTCTTAGCAATTGTTAATTCATCACTACCCGGGTACCACGTTTCGTAAAAATTTAGATAGAGAACAATAGGCGATGTGCAGATAATGAACACAAAATTCACCGTGAGGAGCATTGCCGTCATGGATGTCATCTTCGATTCGTTCGTTGAGGTCAACTTCCGAACTTTAATAATAATGAGCACGTTGCTTGTGAACATGATAATGAAGGGGATAAAAGAGGCGATACACGTGTCAAGCCATGGCCACGTGTACCTGGCGAAATGTTTGTATTTTTCACCAGCAATAATGCACGCAACAAACACTTCACCACGATCATTTATTTTGATGTCTCCGTATGTCCAGAAGAAGTGAAGGTTAATAAAAAACAAAACGAAAGAGATGGCGCAAACTGTGATGAAAGTTGTAAAACTAGTACAGTATACCCGAGCTTTGTAGGGAATATAAACTGCAACTAGCCTCTCAAACGTTACTGCAACTAAGATCCACGCAGATAAATCCAAGAAAAAGTAAACTAGGAATATGTGAAATTTACATCCTCCAAGTGTGATACTCCGTATGTCTATGTCGGAAATGTGACGTATCCAATGTCGCAAAAGACCAGTGTAAAGTACAGTTGTATCGACTACAGCCAGGACGCTGAGATAAATACTAGAAGTGCTTTTCCGCATGTTCTTCCTGGTGAGTACGAGAAGAGATAAAATGTTTCCTATTGTACCGACAATAATGATCAGCGGTGCACAGTATGTCCATAATTCCTTGGCTATTGTTGCCTTGGTGACAATCTCTGTCATCGTTGAGCTCATCCTGTTGGTAACTGAGCTTTCTTGAGTGACTAAACTCGTATCGTTGGTAGTAGTCATTTTGAAGTAAAATAGTGAACAAATATCTAAAAAACAAAATAAATCGATAGATTTTCCAGGAATCGCGATGACAAGATTTATCTAAAAACTTCCAAAATGGCCGCCAAAAGCAAGATGGCCATCGAGGTGGGGTGATTTTTTCACATCAGCTTTAGAACTTCTTACCACGGAGCATGTGAAAATTTGAAATAATTCTGTCAAGTGGTGTTCCTGGAATTGCGATGACAAAATTTATCTACAAAATCCAAAACGGCCACCAGAAAGCAAGATGGCCGTCGAAAATTTTGAAGAAAATCCGTCAAGAGGTTTTCCTTGAATTGCAATAACAAGATTTGAGTTAAAACATCCAAAATCGCCAACAGAAGGCAAGATGTAGAAAAAGAAGTACAATGTAGTTTTGTTAAGTGGTTTACTTGGTATTACGACAACAAGATTTATCTTAAAATATCCAAAAGGCCGCAGGAAAGCTAGATGGCCAACGAAAAAATTTAAGTCAGCTCTAGAACGTAATACCATGTAACATGTTTGAAAACTTGAAGTAGTTCCGTTGAGTGCTTTTCTTGGTATGGTGACAAAATGTATCTTAAAAATAAAAAACAAGCGTCCAAAAAAGGCCGCGAGAAAGCAAAGTGGCCACCGAAAAAAGTTAACCAGCTCTAGAACTTAATACAATGTACTAGTAACTAGTGGTTTTATCGGAATCACGATTACAAAATTAACAAAATGACTGTCGTAAAGTTAATTAGCTCTAGAACTTCTTTCCATGTAGAATGAGTGGAGGTTTGAAGTAATTCTGTTGAATGTTTTTTTTCTGGAATTTCGAATACAAGAAAAGTGACACGCCGATTTAGTGCTAGTGACATGATGTACACCTCCATTGTTTAAATGAGTAAGGTATTTTTATCGCTAAATATCAAAAACTTACCAAATCAAAAAGTCACGTCCCAATCACATTGTCTATTTAGATTATATTCATAGCAGTTTTCCATTGCTAATGTGCACACAGCTGTATTAACAACGAACCACATTCGTTTACATTGACACTTAATATATGCATTATATTTTGCTATTAATTGAAGCAAACGTTTTGTGGAGATCAAAGCTTGTATTGAACCAATAATTGTAATAAAACCAATTATTATTATATGTTAAAGCAGTTTGAAGTATATGTATATTCAAAGAGACTGGTTACTAGATGTCATTCATTACGTCGTTACTCCATTTTCAGAGGTCTCGTTTGCACAAGTACCGTACTTTACTAGTATATTGCCTGAAACATGCTTAGATCTTCTTTAACATAAAATCAAAGCTCATCCCCAATTTGGGAAATTAAAATATATTTTCTCATTTAGGCTATAGAGGCAATTAATATGCAATGCCACGCTATGTAGTCATACTAGTCATACCATGCTCAACCATGTCATACCATGCCATCAGCTCATGTCGCATCATACATGCAATACCATACCATTTCATGTCATACCATGCCACTCCATACCATATACAGGGTGGGCCAAAAAAACACCCTCCTAACCTAACCATTTTCAACAACCCCATATAGAAATATGACCATTTATGTGACATGGGGGTCAAAAAACACCTTTTCAATTTTCATCTATTTTTCGAACAATTGCCTATTTCTACCAAATTTTAGTAAATTAGGCTACAACATTGTCATGAATCTTTCATAATTGGATATTATATATTGTTTTCATTCAATTTTTGAACCACACATGCTCAATATACATGTGTATGCTTATAAAAATAATTCATTTCTTCATCAGTTTGTCCAAAAATAGCTCAATAGACCCCCCCGGACCCATCCTCTGATTGGATTATTCTCTTAAGACGCGGAAGCCATTGGTTGATGGCATAATTGATGGATGTATGCGAAAGTACCATTCAACTGCTAGTTATTCTTTATCTTAGTTCCTCTACATCCCTGATAGACTGGGTATATTTAAATACCAACTGTTCTAGATGCCCCCAGGTATGGTAATCAACATTATTGGCAACTGGACTGCCAGTAAGCCATTTTTCTGGGCTAGAGATGGTGACATTTCGAATTTCCAAAAACTCCAGGGTAGCATTGGACCTGTGTGATGGAGCACTGTTCTATCAGAAAATGAAATTTCTTTCACATATTTTTTATATTCTTGAGGAGTCCTTTTTTACCACCTAATGTCATTAACATTCAGAGTATATTTTTGCTCCTGGTTCAAAAAACAGGGCCTGTACGGTCTTTCCTTTTTGAGAAACACTGAGTGGACACCACCTACCTTTCAGAAAAATGTCATCTCGATTTGAGTAGCCTTTTATCGCAAATGTTACTATTCTTGCTTACTGATATAGAGTATAGCCTTTTTATTACATGTATAGTATTTGGGGCATTTAGAACAGTTGGTCTATGGAGATCCCTAGCCCATCAGGGGTGTAGACAAACAGAAAGAATGAATTATTAGGTGTTGGATGGTACTTCTGCAGAGGTCCATCAATTATACCAATGGCTTTCGCGTTTTAAGCGAGAAATCATATCAGAAGTTGGGTCCGGGGTGAGTCTATTGAGCCATATTTGAACAGACTGAATAAGAAATGAATTAATTTTATAAGCATACACATGTATATTGAGCATGCAAGGTTCAAAAACTGAATGAAAACAATATATAATATCCAATTATGAAAGACTCATGACAATGTTGTAATTTACTCAAATTTGGTACAAATAGGCAATTGTTCGCAAAATCGACGAAATTGAAAAGGTGTTTTTTGACCCCCATGTCACATAAATGGTTATATCTCGAGCCAGAGTTGTTGAAAATTGTTCTATTATATATTATTTTGTTGCAAATTAAAGTATCTTTAAAATGAAATATCATTGTTGGTGTGCATGTTAAAAATTGAATATTTATCAGAAATATTGGCTAGGGGGGTGGTTTTTTTGGCCCACCCTGTCATATCATCCCACACCGACCATATCATACCATACAACGTGCAATAACAATACAATACCACACCATACCATTTCATGTCACATCATACATGTAATACAATAACATACCGAACCATTTAATGCCACACCAACCATACCACACCAACCATAGCATATCATACAATAAGATACCATACCGTCACCATATCATACCATACAACGTGGGATAAAAATACAATACCATAACCATACCATTTTAAATCACATCATACCATGCAATACAATACCATTTCTTGCAACACCATAGCATACCATACCACACTAACCATACAACACCGACCATAGCATACCATATAATAAGATACCATACCATACCGTCACCATACCATACAACGTGCGATAAATTTTCCGACACGTTTGTACATCTAGGACCTAAAAATAAATGTTCAAGGGGAGAAATGTTCAAAATTACAAAAACCTACAACATATTCCAAGCATAACTAAAGAATAGAGAAACACATATGAAACAGTGCATATAGCCCCTATTCCTCCATGTTAGGCTATATCAGTCTTAAACAATAATGTATACTTTGACATTTAACTCCCTTATACAATGCATGCTGCAGATCATTAAAAAGGAATGCTATATCATATCAAACATTTGTAGATACTTACATATTGATTCCAATTGTGTAACTACTGCCTTTATCAAGCTTTCATATCATATAATAGTTGTAAATACGGTGACATACAGGATATCCTCCGCTGAACACACATTGAATGATATATATCCAGAGGACGAGACTGCAGCATCACGATTGTTACATCACAGCTTTGGCTGAACCGTGCGTATAATTGAATTACGTACTACCTTTATTTCTGTTTAATTTTCAATAAATAACTTATTAGGTCTAATAGTGTATTGGTCTCTTGAAAATAATCAGTTTTTCGAGATAAATCCAAAGCGAACAAATAATGAAACAAATTTAAAATTATAAAACATTTACCTTATAAAAACGTTCCAATTTATTATGTAAAGACTCACAAATAATGATCCAGCAGATTTTAATTCTGGTTGATAACAGTAAAGAGGAACATATTAATCATCAATAAGTACATTACTAAAGTTACAGATATAACAATACCGTTTCCATTTTTCACTTTATGACATTGACATCGTTTTCAAAAGGCTCGGTAGCGATACGGTGAACTAAATTGAACACATGTTTGAAAATTCATCGGACACTTCTTTTGTTCTTAGTATCATATCTTCAGAATCAAATGAAACATCTATCCAAACCTCAATGGAACAAAACGACATACATCTCTCAATATTGTAATTGTACAAATAAAAGTTGAATTCATTTAAGGTAGGCTAAGTATCTTGTTAATAAAATAAAAGGTATACTAGTACTTTAATTTTTATCTCTTTATTTTTTATTTCAATTCTTTGAATACTATAGCTTACAAGGGCTTTCGAGGGTGAAATAAGGGATTTCAAGCAATACTTCGCAAGACAATATAGTCTTACTTCCACAGAGAACTAGGGTGATGCCATCCTTTAGGCTAATTTAAACTCGTTTAATCACAGACAAGGTAGACCTTTTACTCTGTCGATTTCTCTCTTCACTCCATTACAAATAAGAACGCTATTGGACTTACTGCAATTTTTTTCTATTGTCAAGGAAATCAAGACATAGTCCAATATTATTGAATATAGGTATGTACATTATTTCATCTCTGTCCTGTCTTTGTGATTATTTTCTATCAAATATACTTCATCTATATTTATACATCTGTCATATTGACATTTAACCTACTATTGTAATTATATCGTTGTAACCTACAAGGCCAATAATGCTTCGGCGTAGGCCTTGGATATATTTGTTGAAAAGTATATGAAATAAATATAACATAAACTTAAAAACAATAGTCTTACCGTTCTATAAGGATGGGCTCAGGTGCCAAAAACAGCTGATCCTTGTATAAATCATTTCTAAACTTCAAAGCAAGAATTTTGTTTTAGAGGTCCTCCATTTTTCTCTATATTGCAGGAAATAGGTTCTCAAAATGAAAACTGGGTTAAACTTTATTAATTCCGAATTTCACTAAGAATACTTACTCAGATATGTATTCTTATATAATTAACATAATTATTGTATATTTTTAAATAATTGTGGTGTAGTAATTTGACTATTTTCTAAAATAAATGAGATATCTTATAAATAAATTTGTGCTGTCTTGCATGGATGGCCTAATGGATAATTGAATAGAGTCTTGCTTCTGATTTGTATTTTGGTGAGTCAAATCCCGGTCATGGCATTGAAATTGTTATCTATTTATTTTTTTATTTATCCCTTGACCATAATACTTTTTAAATGTTGGTGTGTTACTTTAACTGTTTAAATGAACCTGACTTTCCTTTGTATAACTGTAATTGAGAGATCTAAGAAAATTTTGTGTGTTTGCTCCAACAAGGTTCAAATAGATAATTCATTTCATTCTCAAGAATTGATACAAATGAACAAAAACAATTGCATTAAAAACAAAAAATATTCACAAAAACAATAATAAAATATATATGAATAATTTTCGCATTAAATTGTTGTTAATCAGTGACCATAAATGACAGTGTTTTCTACAGAATGTTTTCAATAATAGAGTAAAGCAATGTTGAATTCAGTTCACAATTTCGGTACCGATCCTTGTCATTTAACGGCTTCTCTAAATGCCTCTCGAACAATGATGACGACAGATTTCGCTAATCATTATTAATTGAATGTTTATTATTCCCGTATAACGTATAGCTAATGAAGCGTTTGAATGTATCATCATTTTAATTGCGCAGATCCGTCCATATGTGTAGTATTCTTATAAATCGTCGTCAATACGTCAGACTGTATGTCACACTTATTGACGAATAGAACTGCGTAATAAATGATGACGCGATTAACGCTTTAATAATAAGTTATACGCAGAGGGGGAGAAACACCAGGGTTCAAAGATGACATACGCTTATAATGTAAATCTGTATTGAGATGACATCGTCGCTGATTGGTCAAAAGTCGACAAACAAATGACGTCATCAATGGCGGTTTCAAAATTTTCGAAATACGCTTCGAATAATATTATGTTCATTTCTGGCGTGTTAACCAATTTCGATAGCTTCTCATTTCACATCAAGATAAAGAAAGGTGTACGGAATATGCCTGTATCAATTAAAACATCCCATCGAAGTGCAGTATTTGATAACTAGCCGATAAAAATTCGAACGAACGAAGGTGGTAAGCAAGAGAGGTAATTATGTCTGTCATCTTTAAACTCTGGGACTTTCCCTCCTCTTAGTTATACGTTATACGGGAATAATAGACAATTTGTTTTTTTTGTGGATTTTTTTTGTTTTGTGGAAAAGTGTTATTGCAAACTATATCAAAAAACAGAAAAATGATCATTTCTAATGATTGATCAATTTTTATGCATCCACCAATTTTAACAGTCTAGACACATGCGTAAAGAGCAGTTTATTTTTTGGTTCAAATGGTAAACATGTGGAATCGCTCACCCGTCCGCCTGTCCGCGCAGTGGATATAACTATGACTAAAATCGCATACAGATAACAGTAGCCCACTGAATTGTTTTTTGATTACAATATCCTTGAAAATATGGTAAAATCCATTGATAGGAAGTGAACCACACTTTGGGAATATTCCTATCTCATGATCTCCCAATGTATGATGAAACCCTTTCATGAGAAGTCTCTGATAGAGAAGGCATGTCAGGCAACGTCACGTCAGGCAAACTTTGAATGTTGGATTCCGGGGCAACCCGATTTTCCTTCCTCCTCGAAAACAATTTTCGCAGCTCTTTGCGGAACTTAGGCCCAGACAGGCAGTAAAGAAGAAAGTTTATGGAATTGTTTGTGTACATGAGTAAACTACATATGGCATAAGGGAGATCAGCCGGGTACCACGTCGTCTTAAAATTGTCGTTGAGAGCAATAGGTGATGTGCAGATAATGAACCCGAAATTCACAGTGAGGAGCATTGCCGTCATGGATGTCATCTTCGATTCGTTCGCCGATCTCAGCTTTAGAATCTTGATAATAATGAGAACATTGCCTGTAAGCGTGATAATGAGTGGGATAAAGACGGCGAGACACTTGTAAATCCATGGCCATGTATACATCATGAAATCCTTAACTTCTTCATTGTACACACATTCAAGACCACCAAGATCATTCATTTTGATGTCTTCGAGTGTCCAGAAGAAGTGATGGTTAATGAGAGATAAAGCAAGAGACATGACGCAAACAGTCAAATATGTTGTGAATCTTGTACAGTATATCCGAGCTTTGTTGGGAATGTAAACTGCAACAAGTCTCTCAAACGTTACCGCAACTAAAATCCATGCAGATAAATCCAAGGAAAAGAAAACGATGAATAAATGAAATTTACATCCACCAATTGAGATACTCTGTATATCTGTATCGGATATGTGACGTATCCAATGTCGCAGGAGGCCGGTGTAAAGCACAGTTGTATCCACTACAGCGAGGACGCTGAGATAAATACTGGAGATGTTCTTGCGCATGTTCTTCCTTGTGAGTACGAGAAGAGACAAGGTGTTTCCTATTGTGCCGAGAATGATGATTAATGGTGCACAGTATGTCCATAATCCCTTTACTGCTGCTCCTATGTAAATATATAAAAATGTATGTGCTATTGGGGTTAAAGAGACTTCCATGCAAACAACAAATGCCAAGAGGGGGGGGGCAGGGTTCAGAGATGAAATACATATATGTATAATGTAAATCTGTATTGTGATGACATCGTCGCTGATTATGTCGACACACTAATGACGTCAATGACGTCATCCAATGGCGATTTAAAAATTTCTAATAACGCTTCAAATAATATTATGTAAATATCTGGCGTGTTAACAAATATCATTACCATAGTTTTGTATTTTTCACAACGAGATAAAGAAAGATTTAAGGAATATGCTTACACCGATTCTGAACAACGGATGTGGTATAGTGCAGTCAGAATGTGGGTTTCGGCGTGCGTTCAGAGGGATTTTATGGGACATCATTTTTCATGTTACTACTATGATTATACATATTTGTATGGATTATTAGATCTTAGTTTTTCAGCTTTTAGATTTTGTGGCCATTTTACCCCCCATGGGCTAAAATTTGGACCCCTACTATATAATTGGGCAAGAACTCAAAAAATACTCAGTGGAATGTTTCCAAATTACTAAGTTATATTGGTATAGGCTAATTGAATATATGATAAAAATTTCATGTCACATGGTTAACTGGTTGTCATGGAAATGGATAAAACATGCCCTTCGGGTGTCAATTTTCAGGCCAATTTTTCAGGACTGACAGAGTCATTTCATGCATATTTTGTCACCAATGTGTTAGGAAGGGTTAAAATGTCAATAGAAAACTTCTATAATATATAAGCAACAATTGTATGTAAGGATCAGTCCACAAAACCTCAGATCTTGGCCTTGTATTGGTCCATGACTTATACAGGGGTCTATTTTCATAGACTCGAGCTCCCACATTGGATGGATGCTATAACTTTTGAAATAATGGAGATACAGGTCTCATTTTTTCAGATCTTCATAAATGGTTAGTTTTAAGTATTCTATTTTACTTTGGGAGCTGACATGTTATTGGTTGCCATGGTAACCAGGGTTTTAGGGAAATTCCGACCCCCACATTGGATGGACGCTGTAACTTTTGAAATAAGGGAGATACATGTCTCATTATTTCAGATCTTAGACAATGATTGATTATAAATATTAAATTAGACTTTGGGTGCTGAAATTTGATTGGTTACCATGGTAACTAGAGTTTTATTGAAATTTGGACCTCCTCAATTGATAAATGCTTTAATGTTTGAACTCAAGCAGATACAGATATCATCATTTCAGATCTTAAAAATTAATCAGATTTGTGTATTGAATTAGACTTTGTAGCTTAGCATTTACTTGATTGTCATGGTAACCATGTTTCGTCGTCATGGTACCCCTAATTTTTTATTTCAGTCTTACCTTCATTTGAGAATGGTCAATTCACAACATGTTTTACCAAAATGCTCAAAATTATCATTTTGCTCTTTATTTCAGCAATTTATCCTGTATGTCTGACAGTATAGCCTCATTCCATTCTACTAGTTCTCACACATATTCAGACTCCCAACTTGTTTTTACTCATCATTATCGTTTTCATCTTCCACATGACAATTGCCTCTTAATTAAAAATATCAACAATTTCTATTGGAAAGAAGGATTCTTTTGACCATTCTTGTGTTAAAGATTCGTCAGGGAATTCACAGTTCATTCATGCAGTGTTGGGCGTAATGGTAGAGCTAGGTTTAGGCTGGTGGGAATGTGTCCATACATAGGTTTGATAATTTACCCTCTTCAAATGTGAAAGAAAATGTCAACACCTTCATAAGTGAGGGCAGCACTGTTCTGTTTTTTTCTGTATCTCATGGGAAACAACTCATCTCGTAATCTATTAGTGGCAGTTATTTTTCTATTTCTGCTGTTTTGTTGTATTTCTGCACTGGAGGAATCTGATCCAGTAAACGCATTGAAGGCTAATATAGCTTCACACAGGACTTGGTCCTAGGTTTGCAGCTACAGGGGTTGGGTTGAGCTTCTGACATCTAATGGGACAGAGTTCACATCAGTTGAGGTTCTTAAGGTTATTTTCTTCATAATAGGAATCAATATAGAAATTCCTGACACAATAAAATCCAAAGTACAGCAGAATAACAAAAATATATTTGTAACTTACATCAATAGATAACAATATGAGCTGTTTCACATAAGATATTCTCCAAAACAGAACAGTCCTGCCCTCACTTATGGAGGTGTTGACATTTCAACTCTTCTCATCTTTCAAGATTGGTCCTTGACTGCTTTCGTAGCAGCTAATATAATGCAATGAATTAAATGATGAACTCTTCCATCTTGTAATGATTGCTCATTGTAACATTTGAAGAGGATGGATGATAAAACTTTTATTTGGAAGTGGAAACATTACCCCCCGTCTCCCAGGAGTTCACTGTATATAAACCTTGAGGGGATCCTCAGCTCAGGTGGGTTACTTTTGACATTTGATATGGCAATGGACCCAAATTTTAGGATCTGGTATGAGAATGGTCTCCAAATTATGACTTGAGAGGTATAGCAATGGTCGGATTTGGGAATGGTTGTGAAAAATATGTTGCCCCTCACTTGTTGCACATGTATGGCATTGATCTAGTATATCCTTAATGTGAGGTTATTTTTGGTTGTTTTCCTCAATGATCTGCCTTCTTCTCGAGGCATTAGAAATTTTGAATGGCCATGTTTTCATATCTGGATATTTGGTATGGCACTGGTCATATATTTGGGCATTTGGTATGGCTTTTAGGCATTATTTTGGTTGATATCGGAACACATTCAAATTTGACAGATTGGATGGGAACATATTGATATCTGAGGGTTCAGCCTTGGACCCCAGCCAATTTTATATACAGTGAAACCACAGGGACCAGTCTTAACCCATTCTGCCAAGTCCAATACTGCATGAATGGACTATATCCCCTGAGGATCCTTATCTCCAGAATGGTCAAAACAATCCTTCATTCCAACAGTACTTGATGTTAAGAGGAAATTGTGCTAAATGAAAACAGTAATGATGAGTTCAAATGAACAAATTAGGAGTCAGAACTTTTGTAAGAACTAGTCGTATGGAATACATATATTGTTTACTAGTATTTGATATTTTATGAGCCAAACAATGTTTGCATCTCTAGTATTATTGAGTCATGAGCATGTAAATCATATAAAATAGAAAAAATAAATAAATTAAGAATAAAATGGTAACTTTGAGCAACATGGTATTTTATGTCATGTATTGACCTATCTAGAATAAAGGTGAATCTGAAAACGAAAACAGCAGTTACCATGACAATGAAACATGGTTACCATGGCAGACAAATAATTCCTAGCTTCCAAAGTCTAATACAATACACACATATTATTATTATCTTACATCTGAAAAGATTATCTTATCTCTGGCTGTATTTAAGAGTTATAGTGTTCATCAATTGTGGAGGTCTGAATTTCAACAAAACCCTGATTTCCATGGTAACCAATCAAATGTCAGCTCCCAAAGTCTAAATCAATACTTTAAATCAATCATTGTCAAAAATCTGAAAAAATGAGACATGAATCTCCCTTATTTCAAAAGTTATAACATCCATCCAATGTCGGGGTCAGGTTTTCCTTAAAACCCTGGTTACCATGGCAACCAATCATATATCAGCTCCAAATGTATATTAAAATACTTAAAAACAACCATCTATGAAGATCTGAAGAAATGAGACCTGTATCTCCCTTATTTCAAAAGTTATAGCATCCATCCAATGTGGGGGTCGGAATTTCCCTAAAACCCTGGCTACCATGGCGACCAATCACATGTCAGCTCCCAAAGTAAAATAAAATACTTAAAACTAACCATTTATGAAGATCTGAAAAAATGAGACCTGTATCTCCATTATTTCAAAAGTTATAGCATCCATCCAATGTGGGAGCTCGAGTCTATGAAAATAGACCCCTGTATAAGTCATGGACCAAAACAAGGCCAAAATCTGAAGTTTTGTGGACTGATCTTTACATACAATTGTTGCTTATATATTATAGAAGTTTTCTATTGACATTTTAACCCTTCCTAACACATTGGTGACAAAATATGCATGAAATGACTCTGTCAGTCCTGAAAAATTGGCCTGAAAATTGACACCTGAAGGGCATGTTTTATCCATTTCCATGGCAACCAGTTAACCATGTGACATGAAACTTTTATCATATATTCAATTAGCCTATACCAATATAGCTTAGTAGTTTGGAAACATTCCACTGAGTATTTTTTGAGTTCTTGCCCAATTATATAGTAGGGGTCCAAATTTTAGCCCATGGGGGGTAAAATGGCCACAAAATCTAAAAGCTGAAAAACTAAGATCTAATAATCCATACAAATATGTATAATCATAGTAGTAACATGAAAAATTATGTCCCATAAAATCCCTCTGAACGCACGCCGAAACCCACATTCTGACTGCACTAGTAACCAAGAGACGTAAATATGTCTGTTATCTAAAACTCTCTGAGGGTTTCCCTCTTCTTACTTATGATAAGGGGTAAATTCCAAAAATCATTTTTTCAAATACAGATAAACAATAAACATTTGAGGTTGAGTTAAATTACCTAAATCTAAAAGTACGATGTAACATGAACCAAACAAAAAATCGTAAACATGGTGCCAAATAAGTCACCCCCCCCCCCCTCCCTGTCTACAGTCAAAACCAAAAAACGTGGAACCAAGTGTGATGTATTGTTGGAAAGTTCTACCAAAGTTATGTTGATTGGCACACCTGTATTGTACACCTAGATACATGGCAATTTACATACACTCCCCTCCATAAGTTTGGCAACCTTAACTGCCCCATTGAAGTACGTGTTAAAGCCTCTTTACCTTTGCATTTTGATACACTTAACCTGCGACGAAAATACTTATACTATTGATGGAAACGTAATTTGACTTTATTTCCAATACCTCCAAATTTTATCCATTTTTCCTCAATTACAATAAGTCGAAAATTGATGATATATTTGATAATTT